CTACGCGAGTTAGCTTTGTATATATATATATATATATATATATGAGAAAATACGGAAAATAATAAAAATTATGACAAGGGGAGAAAATTATTAAAAATATTTTTCAAAAGTATTTAAAAAAAAAATAATTTTTGATATCTAAAAAGAAGAAAAATAATTTAAAAATCCGGAGAACAAAACAATAAGATATAATCTCTTCATCAGCCCACACGATACATATATATTATATATTGCAAAAAAGAATTGCATGTTAATTGGATTTAAAATGCAGTGTTATTATACATATTTTATCTCACAAACAACAAAATAAACTTTGCATTTAGATATCCTAGCAAACGATCAGCATACAGCTGTAGTAGAATTTCAAAGCAAAATTGCTATTTTAAAATCTTTCAATTTCCAATGATTTATTTATAAAAGAATTTATGATCATTTTATAATCAGCTTTCATACTGCGACGTAAAACATGTACATTCAAGCAAAGTAAATAAATAGTTATACTTAAGTAAATAGCAAACAATAAAATATATTATGCGTAACCTACTGTAACGATTCACTAGTAACGTTACCCTAAACAGCGACGAGAAATATTCCGATTGTTCCCTCTTATTGCTAAGCCTACAACAATAGCCTCTAAGAATATCCTCCGACTTAATTTATTTAAGATCAGGACGCGTCTTAAAAGCAAAAATAATAAAATTTAAGTTTGAAAATTGAAGCATATTTGATTAAAAGTGATAAAACTAAGTTAATAAATGTCAAACATACTTACCGAATTTCGCGTAGACTTTCGATTGTCAACACACACGCCATTCGCCGGCTCGCATGGAACTCTGGGAAGTGAGTTAGTTAATATGAAGTGTACTTTAAGCAACCTCAAAATAAGCTCAATAAATACATCAATCTTTTTAGTTGAAATAAAGTAAATATTTTTATTCCTCATAAATACCTCTTTTGCTACAAGGATCAGAAAAACAATCGTGCATACTTTAGAATTCATTTCATCAGTTTGGTTGATATGTAGTGAATTTAAAACAACTTCAAAATAAGCTTAGGTATAAATAGAATGACTTCATACACCTCAATAAATACCTCACTCTTTTTAGTTGAAATAAGGTAAATTTTTTATGCCCCATAAATACCTCTTTTGTTACAAGTATCAGAAAAACAACCTGGTATATCTTCGAAATTACCTCATCAGTCTTGTTAATATGAAGTGATTCTTTAAAACAACCTCAAAATGAGCTGAAGTGTATAAAAAAACAACCTCATACACCTCAATTACAACCTTTACGAGATATACATTTTATGGTTGTTTTCTCAGAAGCCTCAAATATACCTCAAAACAACCTCGATAACCCCAAAATACCTCAAAACAACCTTAAATATACCTTAAATTTTTGTAAGGGTTGTCTTTGTCATCAAATGTCTATACTTAATATCACTTCTCATATTATTGAAGAATTATACATTTTAATGCAGCAATTAACCATTTCACAATAACCGAACGATCTAATTTTGTAGCAGTTTATTATACTCTGGTCTAACTCAGAATAAGAAACTTGACAAAACTTGAAGCATATCTGTATGTCATAGTAAGCCTTTTAAATAACTAAATATTTTTAATTTCAGAAAATATTAGAACAAGGCTCTTCAAGAACAAAAATGGACCTTGCTCGTATTATCAATTCAGATGCCAGAATGATAAATGTGTAGAGAGAAGAGACTTTTGCAATGGTAGAAATGATTGTGGAGACAACTCCGACGAACGGAACTGCAGTAAGATCTTAAAAATAAATTTAGTTACTCAACATTTGATCCTAATCTAATTTGAAATTTCTTATGAGGCCGTATTATCATTTTCATTAGGTACATCAAAAATGTTAAAATATATTTGTTTTTTTAATTTATGCCTCCTAAAAATTGCTTTATTTCATTGCATTTTAGTCAATTAAGTGAATTTTCTCCTTCTTATAACTTTCTCTATATCACGTATTCAAATTGTATGTTTCTTTTGTTTTTGTGCCTTTGACCAGACTAGTATAACTATGGGTTACTGCATAACAAAACATGTCATAAGTGTAATCTTCGCTATACACTTTAAAAGCATATTTATTTCATTTGTGAGTGTATTTAGAATAAAAATGATTTCTTTTTCATGATATAATGTGAAATATTTCCCAAATAAACACTTTTTTTAGGAACTAGTTCATGCCGAAACGGAAAGGGAATAGTATGTGGAAATGCTTATTACAATTCGAACTGTATCCCAGAAGAGTGGGAATGTGATGGAGTTAAAGACTGTCCTGATGGGCGAGATGAAAGAAGATGCGGTAAGATAAAAGTACATATTCAAGTATCACGGAAATAATTTTAATGTATATTTTATATTTCAAAAAAACTCCCCCGAAGGTAAAAGTATAAATTTTTACACTATGTTATTTTCTGAAAATACACATTGCTTGCACTTCCCATTTTAAGAACATTGCATTATAGTTTGTCTAAAGTAAAAACTCACCTAGACATTCGTCTGGATCCGTGGCGGTGACAGTGGTAACAAGGAATAATTTTTTCAAGTTTACTGTTTAGGACAGGCTTTGTCTCGGGTCTGCGAGAGAAAGGGAATCTTTCTAATAGGTGTATTGTGTTAACCCTAGAGTGAGGAGAAGCTACCCTCCCTGAAATGCACTATTCTTGTTTCCCTAGCAGCAGACTACCTCAGACTTAGTTTTGGGGGGAGTTTTTACAGTAGACAAACTATAGATCGTCATACTATAGGTGAAAACTGTCGGAAAGAAGGCGAAAATTCGGTAATAACTTACAAATGTATTAAACAATTTCATTCATCATTTCGTATTTTCTCTATACTTTTGCATTGTAAGCTGCAAGCAGTTTCAGACAAGTGGGATAAAACCATGACAAATGAAATTGAGTGTGGAGGATAAGGAAGAATTTTAATTTCTGTAGTTTTGCTTTAGGCATTTTCGCATTTGCAGTGTGTGTTTTGGTAATGCCAAGCACTTAGACCGGAGGCTAGGTTCTAGGTTTTACATCTTTCATCTAGAATCATTTCTATATTATAACCGATGAGCCACGTTTCATTTAATCATAATGGTTCACACCTGCGCCAGTGCAGCAAAAACTTACCATATGGTTTTTTAGGGAGATATTACATTTCGAAATGTGTTTCGGTGATGCATCTTTGTTCAACAAAGACTAAAGCCAACTAACACTAGAGCTAAATATACTATTAATGTTTCCCGAAGTCTGCAATGCCGCTATTCCACTCAAGAACTTATACTTGATAAAAGTGCAAATTTTCAACCCCTCGTATTTCAATGAAATTAAATTTTGAAAAAAAAAAGTTTATATTTTTAGGGCTTAAAATGGGGTTTCTATTTCTTAAATATAGAAATAACTGACGTAGAGCTTTCACTGAGAGCTAATATATTTCATGAGCTAAATTGACTCATAGGAAACTGCTAAAGTTAAAAAAAATAATTATTCTTCTGAAAGCATTATATAAAGTGATAAAATACAACGTAAATCAGCAAAGCAGAAGAAAAAAAATGTTGCCGAAAACTCGTGTCCAAAGAATATAAAAGAGCGAAGAATAAGAAAGAATATAAAAGAGCGTTTTTTCCAAAGTTAAATTTTTGAAATCTCTGGAAATAGTAACTGACAACTATTCAGAGATGCAGTAAATTTAAACTATATATTGAAAATTTTGTTTTCTACTGTAAACTACGAAGAAATTTCTTTTCCTGCATTTTTTTAAACAGTTTTTTGACCAGTCTTTGAGGAACTTTTATGTAAATATTCTAAGCAGTTTCAGAAGGAAAATCTATTTATAGATTCAATTTCAACTTTAATGCGTTTACACTAGGAAAAATATTTAATGATCTGTTTAATATTCTTAATAATCTTATAAAAAGGCTGAAAAGCCTGGTTGGCAGGGCACTGAACTCGCGTTCGTGAGAACGTGAGTTCGAATCCAGTCGGCCGAAGATTTCCAACGCAGTAAATCGTGACTGGTGCACATTGAATTTGTCGGTCACAAAGTCCTCCATGTTCCCGTAGCAAATTACACCTCTGAGGGAGCTGAATTGGAAATTACTCGTTCTTTGGTCCAGGTCAAAATTACGATCTGTGGAAGAAAGAATGGATGTATGAATGGGTTCGCCCTATAAACGGTTGTGACGTATGGGTGTGGCAGAAGTCAAATTCTTAGCCATAGATGGCACCAATTTAAAACAAAAACAATCGTACCCCTTGCCTCAATGGCCTATGTCAGCAACAACATTTATTAAAAAGGATTGAATTATTTCATAATTTAGTTTTTAAATTGTTTATATGGAAAATACATAAATTTGGAAATGTAAATAGGAATTACATTTTCCCTCTTTTAGCCTTGCAGTCTCGATCCAGTTCTTTTATTGGTTTCAACATTTAGTATTAAAAGAATTAGAAAAAAACCTTAAAACTGAATTTAATTACTTTATTTGAATGCTTTTATTTACCAAACTATTCCGATACATTTCGTTCAGCAGTTGATTAATTTATGGACTTTGAAGTATGCTAGCATATTTTATTATTTATAAGTTTTATTATTTAATAAATTTTATTTTTAATTACAGAAGATCGTTTTGAATCGGGAGTTTATCCCTATCAAATAATCAGAGCAAAATTCCTTGCAACGAATTGGATTTTAAATGGAAGGAATAATGCAAGCCATATTCAAAAGTGGGGTGTCAATATACCAAGGACTGCAGTAGCCTACCATTTTTCAGAGAGTTCAAATCTAAATAAGAGTAAAAATTATAATGATGAATTAGCATATGAACTCAGCATTAGTTTGCTTTCCAAATTTGCTTTGTAAGTTGAATTTTACTCACTTTCTGATTCTGGAAGTTGGCCAAACTTTGAATGAGTTTTTCTTTTTTAAAAAAATTTACAATTTTTTTTTCGAAAGACGAAACTAAGTCATATTATTTTATTGTAAGCCATCTTTTCTTTCTTTTTTCGGCACATATCTTTAATATTTAGCATCTGACGTGAAACAATCCAGGACTCAGAGTCCTGGACAAGAGTCCAGCACTCAGAAATCGATAAATCTGGTAGATAGTTTTCAATCTCCAAAGTAGGAAACGATTTATATTTCACAAATGTCCTAGGCATTACATATAATGCCGGATGCTATTTAGGCAAAGTATGAAATAAACGCCCTGATGAGGTTATTCTGCAAATGATGTGCATGTTACTGTGAATGACCGAAATTGGTGGTTGTTGACTTTCACCGGTGAATGTTGACAATCACATAGTCGCTTTGGTGAATGTCCGAAATATTTATTACATCCGATTTGATATTAATTTATTCGTGGATATGATTACATTTATTCGATATTTTAGTACTTACTGACGATAGATTAGAAGAAACATCAGTGTTTGGAGTATCGGGCAAATGTATACCGGACAATGGCACTTAACCTTAAAAAAACATCAGTGTAGGATATACCGGGCAAATGTATACCAGGCAATGGCACTTAGCTAGACCTAGTATATATTTCGGACATTTACCAAAGGTCTAGTTAAGTGTCACTGCCCGTTATACATTTGCCCGCTATATCCTACACTGATGTTTTTTAAGGTCAAGTGCCATTGCCCGGTATACATTTGCCCGGATGTCTTTTTAAGGTCAAGTGCCATTGCCCGGTATATCCTACACTGATGTTTTTTAAGGTCAAGTGCCATTGCCCGGTATACATTTGTCCGATACTACAAACACTGATGTTTCTTCTAATCTATCGTCAGTAAGTATTAAAATATCGAATAAATTAAATTATATCCAGGAATAAATTAATATCAAATCGGATGTAATAAATATTTTGGACATTCACCAAAGTGACTATGTGATTGTCAGCATTCACCGGTGAAAGTCAACAACCACCGATTTCGGTCATTCACAGTAACATGCACATCATTTACATAATCATAATTTACATCAGGACGTTTATTTCATACTTTGCCTAAATAGCATCCGGCATTATATATAATGCCTAGGCAAAGTATGTAATACTTCTCATATTTCATATTTTGCCTAAAAACGTCAGGCATTATATATAATGCCGGCATTTCATACTTTGCGGGTAACATTTATATAAAACTAATGCAACCCGAAAAAAGCGCCGAATTCGTTTCTTCCTGGGGGAAACGGTAATGAAATTAAAGCATTAAAAACGAAAGTTTAATGAACTAATAATCTGGTAGTATAGTGTTGCACTGCAGCCGCTTCACGAATGCTGTCGAATTTCAAGGTTCCGTATAATCCGACTTTACTCGTTTTCTCATTCTGTTGGATAAAAGTGGTAAAATATTTGGATACATTTTTCGAATCACTTCCAAAATTCATTATAAAATTTCGATATTTGAGCTTAAAAAATAAGCAAGCAAACATAAATGAAAATTATTGCCCTTACCAATTCAAAATGTGAAATTTTTTGCAATTTCAATGTGTAGCGCTTGCGGAAGAAAATAGCAATTACTGTTTGGATATAATTAGTAAATGCTTATCATAAGTGTGGAGGCAGTGGGTGGGTTCCGGTCCGGAGGAAACGGAGTTCAATCTTCGACTCCACTAAAACTCATCGAGTACATGCTATTTACGTACTCGTAAAACCTGAGAAATCAAAAGTCTTGTGGTCGGTCGTCGAGCAGTACCATGGGTACAGAGATCTGAAAAAAATTTCCTTCTCCTTCAGATCTATGACTAAATTGAGGAAGAGGACACAGAAAATAGTGATGGCATGTCTTCGGATCATCCTCAGGGATGTTTCCCATACCATTGCCGATAGCCCATTGTGCAGCTCTAGTGTGACCTAAATAAAGTAACAATTTCCGTCAATACCTTTGTGCTGTTTAATGCAATTTTGTGCAAATTTATGTTATCCGTTCTTCAAAACTGATATAATTTTACTGTCCATTCCTTGTAGTGAGAGCACAAACGTGCATATGCATGTAAAACAAATCTATTTATTGCTACGCTTATACATGCAGGCTTGTATGCTCATTACAAAGTGCGGTTTGTAAGTTCTACCAAGTTGATGAACCATATCAGTTAAGCTACTGATTTAGTTCAGCCTTGTTTATTAGGGTTTCGCATAATTATATATATATATATGTCAATATACCAAGGACTGCAGTAC